CCACGGCTGGAAGGTTTTGGGCAAAGCGATTAACCATGAACCTGAAACGGATCGTTTGTAATCGAGTTTCCAAAACGGCTGTTTCACACCGAAAAAAAGAGTTTCGTGTTACTACACCATCGGTCCCGTTGGTGGTTGAGAACAGTCGGCTGACGATCACAACTTTACCATACCTGACTTTGGGGATTATACGTGGTCTGGGGGCTGGTTTTCCCCAAAGTGCAATTCAACTGACTAAGATGGGATATCCATCCCACTGAACTCATGCGAAATCATATGGTGAAGACTTATTCTCCCTGCAATAAATTTAGTCATCCCCCGATCAAACTAACCACATCAAATAATCTTTATCTTATAAAGAAATGATTGGAAGCCACGGATAATTTATTTCCTATTTCTGAATGTTGGAATTCGCCACTTATATTGATCAAATAACCAGATTCTTTAGATAGTTTGTTCACAAACTTCATCTGGCTTAATTCATACTGAATGTTGAGACTACAGGATGAATCATTTGACAGAAATGAATTCCAGTATAAATTTCGGAACCTCTTTCAAGCGCATTCTGTCTCTTTCTGGTAGAGGGATAACACGAAAAATACTCGACTGAACTATTAAGGTGAAAGTGCAACACAGCTTTCAAATGCGTTTTACCCAAATTATTAGTACATTCTGGGTCCGTGATACTCAGAATTCCCCAGGATAGATGTACGTTTGTGTGGAATTTAGTTAGATCTATTATTAGAAAGGATACTCACTGAACAGCTGTTGGACAATTGCATCTATATCAATGAAATAAAAAGAATGCCCGAAACAGTTTATTCGACCGATTAAGCATACTTTCATACTTCTATTCCCATATTGTACTTTTTGACTTTCATTTCCAATGCGTGGTTTCGGGCACCTTGCCAGACATCAGGCTAGCACTAACATATATTGTAAATATATATAAATGTCACAGGTTGACGAAAGCCGATGTCAGTTTTACTTTTCAAGGAATAATCCCTTCCACTTTCACACCAGTCTCAATACCGCTTCCATGAAGTTTAAAGAAACCGGTCACAATTAATCACAGGAGATGAAACACTATGTTGTTTTGTGCTCAGTAATCCATTTAATATGTTTATCCAAAGGTTGGTATTCATAACCGAGTATCTTGCGACGTCAAACTCGTTCAGCCAATAGAACAACCCGAAAGATTTTGACCGTATTCCATTAATTTGAATATATATTTTATCGAAACTGTGTAACTAAATACGTTTAGTTTAACCATTATTCAGAAAGAAATATAGCGCAATTAACGGGAATGATTGACATAGTGATTTAGCGAAAGAAGAATAACACCAGGATTTATATGAGTATGAATAAGCAGAGTGAGTGTAACTACTACTGTTATCGCATTTTTTCGATCACTCTAAGTGTAACGAGTGTAAGGTTTTCAGGACATTCACGAACAGCATAGTGCGTGCCCTCTAGACCGATTGAAGCCTGGTCAGAAGAAAAAAGTACATGCAATATCTGAGAAATAATATTCCAGTGATTACATGCACGTGCATACTGAGTAATGGAATTATACACTTTATTTAGATAATGTAAAATCTATTTGCCCTGTTCGTATCCAAAAAAGTTGACACCACCTCAAACGCCTATCTTGTACATATTATTCCGACTCATTTTTTACTCAGGGAATAAATAGTCGCACTCGAGAAATAGTAAACCAGATGCTTGAAGCCTAAGTGCTGCTTATAACGTCGCTGAGAACAGGGAAAACACAAAGAACCTTTATCAATGTTGATAATGTGGATGATTTGATTGATGGGGATTAGTTTACCGAAGCTAATTTGCCGATAGTTTAAAATTATTCCATCCTCATTTCTCTCTTGCCGAGTTTCTACTGTATCTGTCGATAGCCTTTGTTGACACGAGAAATTCAACTTCATTCCCTTAACTAATTCTTTCATCCCATGCAACATGAAATCAAGTTGGTTGTGAATGCAGTGGCTTATCTCCCGTCCACGAGCATCTTTTCAAACATGGGACCATGTTATCTCCGGGTTCCATGTCAAATGTCAGCTAAGAAATTTCAAGACACTTTCGGTCAGAAGAGTCGATCCAGTGTTTTACCGTCGCTTATTACTTGATGGAATATCTCGACTGGTGGATTTGGTTTTACCGGAGGGGGGGGGGGGGTTGTTCATCGTTGTACGCTACTCACTGAGGAGGCGTGGTGACATTTTTCCACTTACCGGGACCTTCTTATACAGTTAATCTCGTCCAAATCTGGGTCTTGCCAGACTGTTCTCGTAGACTACTGTACTGCAGGCGTTCGTGACCATAGTGTCCGTATGCGCCTTTGTCATGGTATCTATGTCTAAACCTGACATTAAAAAGGTACGACCCACACGTTAGTACCAAACGGAACACCAATGACAACGGTTGTAGTCGTGTATAGAGAGCGTCAAAACAACCTCCTTGATCAACACAGCAATCAAGATCAGTCCTAGTTACCCGTTAGAGAGTAATAATAAGTCAGAATGTGTCCTACCCATAACCAGAGACAGCCAAGTTCCGATTCATGTAATAGCACAAAAATCTTCCATTTTTCGCGCTTATTAGAATCAAAAGCCCAACTGTAATTATACCAACTGAATGAACATGGTAATCTGATTTTTCTAAAGTCCAAAAATATGATTGTAACTGTATAGTAGTAGTAGTAGTAGTAGTAGTAGTAGTAGTAGTAGTAGTAGTAGTAGTAGTAGTAGTAGTAGTAGTAGTAGTAGTAGTAGTAGTAGTAGTAGTAGTAGTAGTAGTAGTAGTAGTAGTAGTAGTAGTAGTAGTAGTAGTAGTAGTAGTAGTAGTAGTAGTAGTAGTAGTAGTAGTAGTAGTAGTAGTAGTAGTAGTAGTAGTAGTAGTAGTAGTAGTAGTAGTAGTAGTAGTAGTAGTAGTAGTAGTAGTAGTAGTAGTAGTAGTAGTAGTAGTAGTAGTAGTAGTAGTAGTAGTAGTAGTAGTAGTAGTAGTAGTAGTAGTAGTAGTAGTAGTAGTAGTAGTAGTAGTAGTAGTAGTAGTAGTAGTAAAATTTCTGTCTAAATGATCTTTATTGTTCGTTCTGCAGAGACGGTGAAATCCATCAGAGTGATCAATACCTGTAGTTTGAGTACCACTGCGTACAAGTATCATATGGCATGAACTCTCCGACGGTAACAAATAGGAACACTTTTGAAGTCCGTTTAAAGAGTAGTGGGTAGAAACGCAGTTCACTCGCAAAGGACCCACTGGAAGTTGTACGCGGCTGCTGGCCAGTTGCTTTCCTTCTTGTCAACTGTCCACTAACAGAGCTCATTTATTATTCATGATGCTTCGGTCAGTTTAAGGTACATTTTACTTGGGATCCAGTTGTTTGGGGTGCACTTTCGCCGGGGGGTGAAGGGGCGAGGGAGGGAGGGAAGAACCTCACCAGGCAAGCAACGATCATCTGATAAATTGTGGTTTATAGAAGTCCAAATCGGCGAAACAACTGTTTTTCAGTAATTAATTCTTAAGCCATTTACAGATTCCATAATAGACATTAGACAAAAGATCATGAACATAGACATGGAATAAACACCAATCATGGGCAGGGGTTTGTAAATCAAATTACCCTTATAATGTGATTGGTTTATCTAGGTGACACCCTCTAGGTAGCTGGACGTTATATTCATGCGGCCTTGGTCAGTCTTGGGCCATGGGAGTTGGACTGCCCGGACGAAACACTTTTGGACACACAGGTCAGGGGTCAACTTCAGTATTCAAGTACCCAACACGCGATGATGGTTGTCGAATGAATTTCGAATGCATTCGAATCGTTTCAATCGATCGATATGTTCCTCCGATGACGGTGCGGCATGTGATTTGATTCATCACCATTGAGCGAATCACCGATATGTGTAAAAGAGAAACAGAAAGGACGTCAACGGCAATAAGCTGCCTGATTACAAGATTATTCGTTTCATGGAGTGGAGGGGAACAATAACACCTCTCAAAATACCAAAGAACTATCAAAAAGCCCATTTTCACCTATGTACTAATTAAATTCAGTGCACAGATACTAGCCTCTTTGTCAAAATAAATGCTACCAAATGCCTAGTAGATGATGACTAATAAAATTATTTGTGGTGGTCCGATACCCAGTTGGCCAGTTGGCGAAAGGTCTGGTCATTTGTAATCCCCAAACCTAGACCCTGAAATACGAGTACCAGTTGGAGAGCTGAAACCCCTTTCGTGTACTGTTCAGCGACGAGATTGGCCTATCTTCGCTGACCAACGAATAACAATTAATCTCAAGCTCCGTGGTCGACTTTGAAAGCAGAATTTTTTTACCTGATGGTCACCATACCTAACCTATTGGAGGCTTATATGTCTGTATACTACCAGTCTCGGAGTCATGGTTACCGGGCTTGCCCATCCTAGTTTAGCGGGGCCCATGCAGTGATGCGCAACCACCGTAGCTGACCAATCAGGTCTCGTGAAGCTACTGTATTGAATTATGTCAGCTTTGCATCACCAAACAGGCACCATCGCTTTTTTTCTGGGTATCTATTTTGATCTGTTCCACATAATCGTTCTCATGATTCTTGATGCGCTGAACACTTGTAATTTACAAACAGTTCCTTTCTTTATTCATGTTTAACAGAGATATTTAAAAATTTTACTTTCAAACCCTGACAGTAAATTAGAGAAAAAGTGGTGGGGGTTCTCTTGTGATGTTCATCTCACTCATAGTTTACTGTAGGAATAGTAATTTCAAAATCTTGCCTTTAAACGGATCGTGGTTTGGATTACATCTTCGACCACGACAGTTGTCAGGTCATTTTGGTGTTACAATTTCGAAAGTAAATCAGCTGGAAAATTCAAATATTTTATGTTATCTGTGTTCGTTGGTCCCTGTAGACAATTCGCTGATATTTTGAAAAAAATTAAACAACGTACAAAACCATATATAAATTCTATCATTTCATACTCGGAATTATTCATCCACTTTTTTATTATATGCTTACGCACGAGTGCAGTGGAAGGGGCATAGCCACGAAGACCCACTGCTCTATTGGGGATAACCGGGAATCGAACCCTGAGACTTGGAGTGGGGACGAACCACTTAAGGGCCCAATAGGTCAGGTGTGGTAACGATCCAGACGACCGTGGATTACTGTCTACCGCCAAAGTAATCGGTGATGGCGGGGATTCGCATCTTCAACCTCTGGGGTAGTAGGTAAATGCTCTACACCACTCGACCACCACCGGCCATAGGACACACACGACAAAGGTTCCAGACACGTTCAAAGCACTCATTTATTGGCGATTGAGTCTTTTATGCACGGAGCAGTGTGTGATGCCAGTAGTTGATGGTGTACTGGTCAATCATAAAGCAGTCCACTGGGATTGATTTCATTGTCTGGATCCGGATGAATTTGACTGGTTGAGTTCTGGTCCGCTTAATAAACACACGAAGCTAGGGAACATCGTACAGCGTAACGAGATGGGTACGACTCACCGTATATTTACAGTTGTCAGTGACACATTGGTTTTACGGTAGAAATCCTGCAAGGATAACACAAACTACGGTGTATGTGTTCAGTGAACCGTTGAGAACCATCCCGGACCGCCTGTTGGTTAGATTTCCACTCAATTGTTCACCCCGGGGTTCGATTCTCCTAAAGAACAAAATGAAACAGTTCTACAAAGTGCTTATTTATGGTTTTCAGTGGCGATTTCGGAATGATGCTGCTTGACTATTTTCCTAAGCTTTGATCAGTTTTCATGACCTATCATCTGCTTCAGAACGAGTAACCTGACAAGAGAAAAACACACGAGTCTGAAGGAGACCATGACATATCTTCAAAATTAGACAAACACAAGTAGTTGGACTGAACTATCAGAAATTTCGTCTCTTACACCTAGTACTTATTATCATCGTCCCACACGCGCACATTCTCCCACCGTCCGTACTTAGACCACATGAGTATCGCAAACTTTGTTAGTATTCATGGCTCAGATGTGTCTACTTGATGCTAAAATTGTTCTGGACCCGAACGGATATCTCGATTGTTCTCAACCAGCTAGATGAAATGTCTTGGCCGCAGATAATAACGCCGTAGTCTAATCTTCCAGGAAAAACAGAATATCAGTAGGCGAACCGAAGATGAGCGAGCCAAATGTTTAAGTCTTTCATTGATTTCTTCAAAAACAAAAGATGCATATTTGTGGACCAGATTTCGCTCCATGCTGTTTGTTTCTTGAACCGAGAAACACGTCGTCTTTCATATGTCCTCACAGTTTCATTTTAAATGATAGATCAAGACATTACACTTGACCTAGTCCACTAAGGTGGTCAGTGTACGACGTGGGAAAAAGGCATAAAAACCCTTACCAGCCGGCTTGGCTGGTTTCCAGCTCGCTAGATCAGCCCATCAGGTGACTGTTGACATTAGGTGAGACGATTAGGTGTCACTGTTAGTTGTGTAGTTACTTTCGAGCTCTTTCGTCTGCGTGCTTGCTCTTTTTCGCTTCTATTCATTCTACCCTAGATTCGAATATGCTGTAGGGTAGATTAGAGAAGTCCGGGGCTAACGTTTGCAAGAACTGAACTGAAGTGAATTGAACTTTGGAAGAGTCATCGACAAATTCGAGGATTGATGAAATACAGTCAGCCTCGGTTTTGCAACTTGCCGTGCCAATACAACCACAAGACTGACTGAACCTCTTTGACAGCTTTGACAGCTGAATATTTGCCTCTCTGGGTGAGTGAAGCTTTTGTCTGACTTGACTGGACTTGTGAACAAAGCAGCACAAGGCAGCAAAACCGGACTGCCGTGTATACCGATCAAGTTCCAACTCGGACTAAAACACAACCAAGAGACCAGATTTATTTCAGTGAATTATTATCATCTTATTGGAGCTGTGATTCAGGACAACACCCGGTTAACTTCAATACCAAATGTCATAGCCCTCATTTGTCATTGGCTTTAGGTAGAGACGATGTGCGATTCGTAACAGTATACATGCATATACATATACGCATAAATATGCGTGCATACATATGTACGTGGTATGATTGATCATCAAAATTCTTCCCAATAACAATGCAATCCTTTCATATTCTGATGCCTAAACACCCAGTAATTCAATAAAACTATCCGCACATCTTGTTGTATTGGTCACTTAATAGGAATATTAGGGTGTGTGTGTGTGTGCGGAGGGGGGGGGGGGTAGTGACCAACGACCTATCAATAAACACATCGAATTGCTTAGTTATTCCCAGAAGCTGTCAATTGTATATTGATTTTCTCCCACTCGCTCCTTTTCAGTGATGGGTTTCCGATTTCAATGTATTCCCTCCTATAGAGAAGTTAATACAAAATCTCCTGTTCTGTGGCCCACAAATATGGAAAGAGTTGAGGCTGAATGCAATGTAATCTCGCTATTACCGTACTCGAGGTAAGCCTCTAACAGTTTTCGTCCCCATTTTATATATTGTACGCGATATCCGTATAACTGTGTGAGAAACTGTGTCTCGCCCAGACATAACCGGGCCATAATCGTTCGATCCGATTAGCTACAAACAGAGGTATTGAACGGTGGTCGTCGAGTTGTTCAGAGCGTCTGCTTACCGCCTCAGAGATCAGAGTTTCGAATCCCGTCATCGATGCCGGTTGCTTTGGTGGTAAGCAGTAGTCCACTGTGTCACCAGAATCGTTATCACAACTGACTTATTGGGATTTTATGTGACTCTCTGCCACTCCATTTCTCAGGATCTGGTTGCCGGCTACCCCTAAAGTGCACTATGCCTCTGAGGTAATGGGATATGCGCCCCGTCGGACGGATTAATTCAGTTGATCTCCGAATGTTCCGTCCAGTAGCTCCGTGCTGATCCAAAACATAACTTGAGGACTTTCACAAAAAGCTTGTTCCAGTGTGTTGTCAATACAAAGATGAACTCATACGACAAAACAGTAGGGAACAACGGAGAGAGTGGAGATAGGGTCCCGAGACCAGATATTCATTTTCCATACTAGCAAAATCCCCTTGTAAAGTTTCTAATTCACGCTCTGACTGGTC